GGGGCGGAAAATCGTATAATGAGTAGGATTGACGTCAGGCTTTACGAAAAAAAGGATTACGGTAATAATGTGTAAACAACCGGTACCCTTGTTTCGTTATCACTCGTAGCTGATGTAACGATCCCATAAAATTCGATCCAATCACTAAAATCGTAAATGACATCGTAAATGCTGTGTGTTATGGACTGGTACCAGTTCAAAAACATCCGACTGGCTACTTCCATTTGAAGAGTGAAGAGCTGAGTCAGGAAAAAAGGGTTTTACCAGCTATCCCAAAAGAACTATTACATGAGTAGAGTTCATTTCAGCTGTGCGCGTTTCATGGCGTACGAAAAACAGTCGACGGAGCGGACGATCCAATAAAAGCTCTTCTCAATCAGCTGGTCTGCATATGTGAGAAGCAGATTGAAAGTAAGTTTTCCCTAGTTAAATTCTTTCCATAGGAATAGGGCACAGCGTCAGAAGGGTACAGCATCGTTGTGTGGTACTCATAGGGGGGAGGTCGTACTTTTCGGCTGGGGAGGGTCGTATTCGGTCGTTGTTGGGAGAGGGGGGTCGTATGTGGCCTTGACAGAAATTTGTCGCGTTGGGAAAAATTTTTTCGGTTGAATTTTTGCGTGATTTCTCCTGTTTCATGTGTACTATATAACTCCCCTCTTTCATCCCCCCCCACCCGCTCGTGTCTGGGCGAACAACTGGAAAAATGTGAGGAATTGGTAGGTAGGAGCTCGGGAAGGGGGGGGGTCGCACCAAGACTCCCTCGAAGAGGGGGGTCGTACTGGCGACCACCATTTCACACATCACGATACTGTACCCTGACTAATAGAACGCCCCGCTGGGAGGTATTTCTGCTAGGGAGGGCGGGGGTCGTACTTGACTTTGAGAAAAAATGTTGCGAGAATGGTTGACTGGTGGTCGCGTTGAATTTTAGTTGTTGGATTTTTAGAAACTCCCCTTTCACGCTGTATGCCTCTCTAGTTGGCGCCACGACTACTATACAACTACTAGACTATTCTGATAGGATGGGGAAGGGGGGGGGGATGGTGGTGGTGACACCGACATTTAGCCCATCCCGATGGTGCACCCTGCCTAGGAATCTACTTTTACACCACTTCAACATATTTGTAGCGTTGAAGTAGCCGATGTAGGCGGTCAAGAAATGCACCTTTTGGGAGGTTGATGACGTTCATTGACGTCACAGAGCACGTTAATGACGTGTACTTCTAACGCCGTTTATGTTTCACGTCATCTTCTGCTTGCTAAACCTTACCATATATTAAAACTTTGCACAGCCATTTGATTTTGCGTCAAACAAAGATTCTCTGAAAGTAATACTTAGAATTGCGTTCATAAAATTAAGAGCAACTCTCAAGTGAGGATTATGTGGGGCGGAAGAAAGTGGGCCTGGGGGCTGTCAAAGCCATAGGTCACGGTGGCCGGAGTCCTGAGGTATGGTGATAAGAGAATCGCTAATTCGCGGCGCTGTGAGCGTCGCGTTGCGCCCGCAGCTGACGATGGTTACAGGTGTAGATGGCGACAACAGGCAATTCAGCACCGAAAATGGTCATGAATGTCTACAATGACAGAGTCTACATGAAGTTCGGTGATCCAGTCGACAGGGTAATACGACTTAAGAAAACGCCGCGCCCACTGCCGCGCGCGGTGGAGCGGCAAATTACGGTTCTATTGCCCCGTCTCCCCCGAGTCGTGACTTACGCAAGTGCAACCGACCACGCTCCACCGCCGGACAGATGCAAGTGGTTGTTCATAGAACAACGTTCCGACCGTCCAATGATTAGCGTGGAGCGCGCGGCTCGTCATGAAGACAATGGATGCTCGTGACTGGGCCAAATATAGAGGTTCGCCTCGTGCTGCCGAAAGCAATGAAAACGTCCCCTCCCCTATCTTATACACAAGAAGGGCCTCTGTATGGAGGCTGAAGGCGCAGTGGTCATATGTCTCCCTTATTGCCCCTCCCATACGATTATCGTCAAGCGTGTCTAAATTTTCACACTGTTGACAGGATGACAGATGAAGCAGAATAAGATAATACATGCAAGAGATATGCCTCATCGTATGCTGGACTGAATTCGCAACATTCTATCACGTTTGCATTTAGATCTGGACCACGAAGCGCCGAGTTCTGCAGCGTTTACCGTCGAATGGACACGATTAACATGGTCCTTGTTGGCCGTCATTTCCAGGCTCAGCTCGCGGTTCATCGATCCGCGACATGTTGATCAAGATGAACAACAACTCACCAAACGCCTCAACATCAAACTCTTCGATCTCATCACAAGGTAAGTGTTCTCGTTATAGAAGAGGGGCGGGGCGCGTAACTACGCCAGATCCCGGAATTATGACTGCTGCTCAGCTGTTAAGACTTACCATTAGAGGCAGTCAAAGCGTCTACCTTTGAGAATAACGTAAGACATGTTAAACTGAGCCGAAGTGATTCTCTGTAAGGACTCATTGTGTCATGTCGGACCAAAACTCTGCAATGGGAGAAGCAATTTCGTACTGTCAACTGTCACTATGTCGCGATTTCAGGCACGACCCGTCCGCCCGCCTCCCGGTATGCTGGAGAACGATTTCCGATGGGTACAGTTTTATAATGTAAGTTCTCAAACATCTTTGACGAATGTAAAATTATAGAGCACTCCGCTTAGTAAGGTCCACCACCGCGCCTCCATTCTTAGTGCGACTCTCCCTTTTGAGACAGTAAAAGGGGGACGTGTCTATGATGAAGGTTTAGTGATTTACTGACCCTATCCTTACGACTAAGTGAAGGTAGTCTTGAGAGTGGTAGATAGGACACGTCCTGCCGTTGGGGAAAATTTTGCAAATGATACCCCCCCTGAGAAATTTTGAGTCCTCTCCTAGGAAGCAAGACACTGTCTCCATCTATTACAATCTTCCTGAATATTTCTCAATTTCGCACCACGATATCTGCAGGGTTTTTTTTTTTAACAAACCAGTCGGATCGCCCGTCCTTCGTTGCGCAAATCGGTATCGCGTCCCCCAGAGTTTTCTCCAGTAAGGCCCTCGAACTGTTTGCTCATGTTTTACTCATACTCCTCATTCCCGGGGTATTCGGATGCGTTTGAGGATTTTTGTCCCCCCGGGTACTGTTCACTTTTCGGCGCCCGCCCCCCAATTGTGGGCAGCAGCCTAGAAATTACCTTGTGTGTACTCTGCAATGTTGCCCATAGCCACATACATCCCACCATATTCGTGCCTATAAACGCCGTTCCCTAAAAGTGATTTTCACGATAGCACCCGATTTCTTGAGCGGTGCACCACAGACATACACACACCACATACACACACACAGCTTCTGGTGTATATATAGAGAGATCACAGACACGGGCAAGAGAACGGGTACAATTCAACAGCCGTAAACATTTTCTTCAAAAGGGAGTAGGATACTTTTTGCTGAGGATCCTCAACGTAAGATTTTCCCGTGTGGGAACACCCCGAATTTATACCATATTGATGTTTTTAATGATCCCTAGAACTATTTCAGTTACTGGTTCCTACGTTGACTACGCTACACGATCTGTACTCTCAACTCGATACATCCGTGCAGTCGTTGGATACGGCTATCGCAACATTCACTGAAGCTCAGGTTTGTCAGTTATTTCTACAGGAATCACAATCTCATTCTCACATTGCCATAAAAATGTCAGAGTTAGAAAGAGAATTACGTTTTCGCGGCTTTAGAAGATTGGGCATAGCGGTCCAAGGGGGGTGGGGGGGGTGGTCGTGCGTGTTAGTATACTCGAAATCCCTGAGATCGGGTAGGCGTGGCCGCATGTTTCAACTTAACCTGAAGGTGTCTATGCTTCTGGTGAGATATTTTCATCTTGACACAATTGTTGTCGTGTCTCTGTCCAACACAGAACAAGATGACAGTTGTCCCAGACTGGAATATTCCACGAGTAACCAATTCCGTGCCATGTTCAAATGCCACGCCTACTCTGGCTCAGGAATAAGGAATGTACATATAGTCCGAGGGTACCTTTTCTTGTGTTCAAACCGGAAATGCAGGGAGATCACAAAAGCAAAAAGGGTGTCAAAACTGGAAAAGTTGGGGGGGGGAGGAGTCGACAGCGGGGCTCTGCGTTAATGGTGGTATAAGTGTTTTGGGAGAGCTCTCCTTGGAAGTCTGCTACAAGATGGAAAATCGCTTTCTCAGCGTCTTCAAAAGTTCTGGTTCAGCACTCCAGTCCCGGGGGACAGGCAAAAGAATCGTAATTTGCCGCTCGCCGCGCGCGGCGATGGGCGCGGCGTTTTCTTAACTCGTGTTAACCTGTCGATTGGAGCACCGGACTTCATGTAGACCCCGTCATCGTAGACATTCATGACTATTTTCGGTTCTGAATTGCCTGTTGTCATTCAGAACCGAAAATAATCATCTACTACGCGGAACAATCTCATTTGTGGGCGCGATATAGCACGGGACCAACCCGACGCGGTGAATTGCAATTTTTTTGTCACATACCCCCAGTTCCGACTGAACGCTATCAAGCGCTTCCTATCATGAGATTAGACCAGTACTTACTGATCGCAAGACAGGGCGAGGCCGTGCTGCGATAATATAGCGGTCCAGACGAAAGACAGGCAGAGACGTATGTATGAGGGAAGACGGTCGGTATGGCAATACGTAGCCGGGACACTCCGCACCCCATTAAATGTGTACCATACCTCATTTGCGCGATTCGATCGCTAAAAAGCGGCTCATAGTTCCGACCGCCTGCAGGGGATGGCAGCTCCGGCAAAAAACGGGCTTTCCTACAGCGAGTAACGCTTTCAATTTGCGAACATTTTCGCTAGGTGACATAGTCTCGATGGCTCCACGCTGTCTGAACGGCGGCTTCAGTGCTGTTCCTCACTGGCGCTTTTTACAGCTTCGGCCGTGCGTGGAGTCTTTCCGTGAGCTTTGTAGATCACATGCGACAACGATTTTCCCGTCGTTGAGAGCTGCTCAACTGGATCGAATGGCGAATTTCCGGGAAATCCCTGAAGAAAAACTGAGGCTCGCCACTCTATACTACACATCAATGCCTGTTGGATACACGTATGGGATATTCTCGCCTCGCAGCAAGACTGCAGGTATGGTTCATTTTTAGCTATCTTGACGAGTCCATTACTTCTTGCCTGCAGTTGACATTTGACTAGTTACTATCTTATTTACAAGGTGGCTGGCGGAAGGCTGTTTCTGCCTGCGGAACTGGGGCGTGGCGAGGAGGCCAGTTATGAAATGAAGAAGGCGAACAACAGTTTGGTTCCAAAATGGGGCTGTGCCGGTGCATCAACCCCCGAACACGCCTGTCCTCCCCTACCCCTAATAACGCTTTGTCCATTATCTTCACTTTATTTTTGGCATTTCTTTTACTTGAAGCACTAATGGAAGTGTGGGCCAAGCGGGCAGCCATTGTCCCGAGCAAGCATCCCCTGACCATGCCATACAGTATCATCAGAAGAGAATGAAGTGGGAGGGAATATTAACCTGCTTTTCCAGGGCTTTCGCTTCGAACTCCAGTGCAAGTTGCCATTCTCGATGTCCGATCCATGTTGAGAAGTCGCTTATTAGACTCTGGTGTAGCTTGACAGTCGACCAACTGGTGGCCGACTGCCTCTTTGCTGCCGAGCCATCGACGAATGCCATTCTTGTCACGAATAATCTCTTCCCGTTCAATTGCGACAGTCTGGCTCATGCTGTCATGTTCAAGCAGTTCGACGTGCAAATCGTCAGCGAAGAGACTGCTCAACCGCTGTCAATGTGAGTTCTTTGGAGCGTTCAGTCCTTTAACTCGGTTTTCTCGTTCGTTTGGCGTTTTTTTCTTGGTTCTTCTTTATTTAACATTCTTTGCTACTCATTCCTAAAAAAATCCTTTTCCAGCTCTTGTTCCTAGGTCCTTTTTCCACATTCCATTTTTTGTTGATTTTTTAGATACAAATGAACAAAGTCCGTGAGGGATCGTTCTCGCCTCATATACCGGGCAGCTTCCCGTCAGCTGCATTACTGGCTATGAAACCAACCAGTGGTGTTAAACGGAACAATGCTACGGCGAATGCTGGTAGTTGATTTAGAATAAATACAGTTTCGCGGTCCTAACTAGGTTTAAGGCCTGACCCCGCCCAAGAAGCTAGCTACGGTGCTCAGTCTACCTGGTTGTTTAGGCGGAGTCAGGCCTACTTTTTTCCCCCTCATCACTGCCCTCCTTCCCCTAGAACGGTAAGAGGATCGCTCCAATGTGGATGGTGCAATGGTGGGCTGTCCTCGCTTATACGAGCGTGCACTGTGCCTTTAGGGACGAAAACTCGTTGTTTTGTCGTTTGCGTCCTGTGAAACAGCACCCTCCGTAAACGACTTTTCGGAGAAGCGGGCGGACTCTCTTAACAACTATGACCTCCTAACTGGCACCCCTCTTTCGCCATGTTAGAGGTAGGAGCACATGCCTTCCTACCTCTCCTATCCTACTAACACGTAATGTGTTCCAAACAAGGCACGTCCTGCCGTTTGAGCGGGCGGGGAGGGGGATTTTGCAGAATACGACCCCTGAATTTTTCCCCTCTGGTACAGTTGTTCAAATTCATACCACTTCCCATTTTCCGCTCCCCTTCCTCCCCCTCCCCCCTCTCCAAAAAAATTCCTACTTTCCCAGGAAAAGTACCTGTGGCCAGACGAGCGAGGGGTAAGGGTGGAGGAGCTGAGTAGCACAACTGAAATGGGAGACCGAAAAATCATTTACAATCATCTTTTCCTATGTTTTTCAAAATCAGATCATACCGCTCCCTCCCTCCCTTCCTTCAACTACCTAATCCACTGTTGTGAATCACCACGTTGGACGTTCCCTGGCTTGAGAGGAAAATGAGCGCTCTGAAATGCGTGTTGATTGTTGATGGCACGAAGTGCACAAAGTTCAAATACTTTTTTACAGAAGGCGGTAATACGGCTCATAAAAAATCGGATGTGAACAGTAAAGAGTCGGTCATGTTGATGCCATCGTTCAGTGACAAACTAAACAGTTGGCAGGCGACCTATCCACATCTGCTTTGCACGACAAGGCAAAAGGTAACTTGCAGTGGCTACTATAGTGGCACATTCCAATTTGTTGAAAAAAAATGGAAACAAATTTTGGCCTTATTAGTCTTTTGAGTAAAAAATGCAGTCGACATTGGTGGCGAACTGCTGTTTTTTTGTCTAAGGATACTGTGCTTCTGGACAATCGAGCCGGGCAAGTAGGAAAACGGCCAGTGTTCTATTTCTACATTCGTGCCACGACCTTTTCGCCTTCAGGAGGTCTGTCGTATGTGCGATCGCTTTCATTGCCGTTCACGATCGCCACAAGACGAAATCAGGTCAGTTTACACGATTAAATTTGATTTGTGCCCTTCATATCCCGAGGTGGAGTGGGCGTGGCTGCGCACTTTATCAGAATATGGCTTACGATTTGCCTTTCGTCGGGTATTCCTTGGGGGGGCGACTGTGATAGTATGTCGTTCTGGACTA